TCCATGTTTTCGTATGGCCCCCACATAACCATTTTGCCATAATTTTTCCACTGATTTGTATGTGAATTTGTTATTTGTAGTTCTTAATGAGTTCAAGCTCCGGTGGCAGAACATTGAATATCTATGTCTGATGATTTTTCCAAAATTTTCTACGGATTTGTCTAAGAAATTGTATTTGTAGTTCGTAATATGTTCTAGCTCCGGTGGCGGACCATATAACAATACCTCCCGGTATTTTGATGATATTTGCCACATTTTTTCTTGGATTTGTCCAAAAATTGGTATTTGTAGTTCGTAGCCCCTGTGGCGGAAAATAGTATATATAGGTGCACGTTTTCGTATAGTTCCAACATGATGGTACCTTCGGATATTCAGTATTGTGATAATTCTAGTCAAATTGGCCCATGAAATTGTTTCAAATTTGGTATTCAAGAAGATTTTTGTAGATGACAATACTTGAAGTATAAAATTGTCTGTGAAGGTTCCCGCTTTGGTATGGCCTCCATACAACGGCCTCAGCCACTTTATGGCTGTTTGAAAACAGCATTATCCATACGGCCTTACTGTTATGTGTAGTTTAAAGTGGAACATGTTTGATTTCAGATATTTTTTTTGTAAAAATGTTTTCTTTAACCAAAGGTGGAAGATATTAAAATTTCGGGCCGGCCGAACTTTTTTTTCAAAATGATTCTAATTAGACGGCAGGCTACTGTAAAGTACAAACAGACATTAAAATCGCTTTGCGATCGCATTTGTTGGCATTTCTTCATTAAAGTTCAATTCATTTTGGGTTTGTTTATTTTTTTAACATGTTTTTAATGCGTTTTTTCCTGACTTTGCTTTAGTTGCGGTGGGGTGGGGTGGGGTGAGCTGGGAGGTGCATGATCGGGTTAATATTTCTGACGTTGAGAAGGCAATGTTTTCATTTAATGAATGTGTATGGAGGTTGTTGTTGTAGTTGTTTTTGTTAGTTTTACATATTCCACGAATTGGGCGAGTTCATTATGATATAACAGTTAAGGCATTCGAACACACTGGCCAACCCATCATTATTGGCAAAATGCCAACCAAAAAGGGCTTAAACTGTTTTTTTTTTGTTTCTTGACGTGAGTGTGTTTTTATGGACATTAAGACAGCCAGCCAGTCAGTCAGACAGACAGACAGACATGAGATACTCATCGGTATGTGGCAGCGAAGTGTGTCAAGAAGATAGCCCTCAAAAGCATGCATGCTGGCTGCCAGGCCAGGCATTCACTCATTTAAGTGGATATTTATTTGTTCACCTGAAATGGATTCAAGGTCAGATGGGTTTTTTGATTTTGGTTTCTTTGGCTTTGTTTTTATTTTTGGAGGAGTGCAGATGAAAGGTTGCCCATTTATTTTAATTTGAACTCATTTATATGAAAATGGTTTACATGTTCGTGGAATTATCTACCCCCACCAGCCATCTTCAAGTGTGGCTGGCGTCTTTTAAGGAAGACAGTTGAAGCAGCCAGCATATCTGAAGCAGAAAAAGATGAAAATAAAACAATGATCCAAAATGAAGTCATTAAGTTTGTTGTTGTTGTTGTTGTCGTTATTGTTTTGGTTTGTGGCATGGAATTTTTGTCACTTTCACCGAAATTGTGCAGATGATAATGGCGATGTGATGGAAATTTGTTTTTATTATTTCTGCTTTTTTTGTTTTGGGTATTGAAGTTGAATTTAATGGTCTGCAATTAAACGAACAAGATGCGCGATAATTTCAGGTTCAGCTGCTCTTAATTATGCAGATAGTAGACACCGAAAAAGAAAAACAGAAATCCTAAAGATGACAGAATATTGAATGCATTTTTTGGGTAAACAATTGGATTTTCTGTCATGTAATTGCAAGGAAAATCTGATAGGCCGACGTATTTAGTTTCGGCTTTTGAAACCAAGATTTTTGAGATCCGTTATTATGCCTAGACCACATTTACATAACCTTGTAAAAGGTAGGAGTGAGTAATTCGCTCTTAGGAAACTACTCTGCCCAGAAAGTACGAAAACTGAAAATAACAAGTAAGTCGGTTTTGCCGACAGATGTATACCCCCGCCTTGAGTTATGATTATTGACCTATATTGACCAATTCGTATCTGACCAAAGACTGATATAAATATTACAACGTATCAGATTTGAACTATATCGGCTACTACGTGAGGTAACAGATATAGCGGACCGAAGTATTCCGTTTCTACACTTCATCTAATACAGATAAAAATATTGGTATGCGCAAATTTGAAGGAAATCGAACATTGGATGTATTGTATGCGAAATCACAAATTCCGATAAATTACATATTCATATCAGATTTCTGGTTAAGAGAAATATTTAGATGCAGAAAGTTGTATAGAATCGCCGTCTTGTTTCTCAAGTTATGTCAGATATAAGTATTGGAAATTGTGACCCTTTGTGGGTGAGGTACCAGAAGGGTTTGGCAGATGTATATAATTTTCACAACAGATCTTGTGTTAGCAAAAATATTTGAATGTGTGAAATTTTGAAGAGAGTTGGATGCTAATTTCGCTTTCTTTGAGCGCTTTGCTTTTCAAAATGAACCCTATGTGGGGGAGGTACCAGAAGAAATGGTCAGAACTTTGCCATCTTTATAAAAGATTTTGTGTTGATGTAAATATTGAGATGTACCAAATCTGAATGGAATCGAAAATTGATTGAAATGGAATCGGTTGTTAATTTCATGTTTTATGAGATTCATGAATATTCCAAATTTTCGCCCTTATTGGGGGAGGTACCAAAAGGAGTGAACGAATATATACCATCTTTACACCAGAATTGGATTAATAAAAATATTATGATGTGTGTAATTTTAAGACAATCGGACTATTATACCACATTTTATAAGAGTTATACTTATTCTAGATTTTGACCATTTGTGGGGAAGGTACTTGATGAAGTGGACCGATATTGTCCATTTTTTGCATCTGACGTAGCACTGATGCATGTATTAGGATTTGCAAAATTGGAACAAAATCGGATTAACTTTTCTCTTTCTGTGCAGTAAATTATTTTCTTTGAAAATGTTGACATTTTGTGGGGGAGGTACCAGAAGGAGTAGACCGATAATGCTCATCTCCAAACTCGATCTAAGTTTGGCAATAATATTACGATGTACAAAGTTTGGATCAAATCGGATACTCCCTTCGAGAGTTATCGTGCGGACCAGCCTGTTGCTGTAATTTCTAAGCCACTCGTCCGACAGCTGTTAAAATTATTCCAGAGACAGCTCATTATATTGTTTACAAGCGTACAAAAGCATTTTGGTGAGAATTTTCCAGAAAAAAAGTTATTCGTGATGGAATTCAAGCGTGATAGTGTGATTTCTTTATATTTGGCTGGAAAACCACAAGTGGCTATCGTTAGAGCACCACACCAGCATTTAAATGTGAATAATTTTTTTGTGTCTCGCTCGTTACCGTGATACTGGTAGCGTAGACCGACGTCAATGAAGTCGACGGAAAAAACACCAACATCAGAAAAAACAGGAAGAAAATAGACTCAAAAAAGCTAAAGAGTTGCTTCGCATGGTCGAAAGTGGTGAACTGCCGAATTTTTCAATCGCATTGTCTGAAATTCTACACAATGAGTTCCTTCTGAGTACTTTACCCCCTAGAAGAGAATTTTCTTTACAAGTCCACTATATCGTATAGCCCCTCCCCTCATTTTCAATATTTGGATTTCGTATTTAAAGTTAGCCTATAACGAAGAATTGCGTATACAGGTCCACATCTTCGTATAGCCCCCATATAACGATACCTCCTGATATTCGGTATTATGATGATTTTAAGAACACCAGAATCGCTTCCAATTTCGTATTTGAAGCTTGTAATGGGTACTTGCACCTATGACGGAAAATTGTCTATGTAGGTCTACTTTTTTATATAGCGCACATATAATGGCACCCCCCTATATTTGGTATTTTGATGACATTAGAGACATTTTTAATTGGAATTGTTTCAAATTTCGTATTTAAAGTTCGTTCGGTTACTACAGCCTATGCACGACTTCATATAGCCCACAATTAACGTGTTTCCTTTAAGTTGTATTTTTCGACGGATTTTTTGGAATCCTTCAAAATGGTGGAGGATATTAAAAGTTCGACCGCGCCGCAGCTTTTTTACTTTTTATGCCCTCAGCCATATGGCTATAGAGGATACATATCATTTTATGCGGCCAAAAACGCGCCTCATCGAAATAACAGTTTTAGATCCTAGGTCACTTTGGATCAAATTCGTTTCAGGATATTTGGAGTCGATCTAGCGATGTCTGTTCGTCTGGCTGGATCGTACGATAACTTTCGTAGGAGTATACGATTTGGTCAAACTTGGCGCATCGTAATATTATTATCAAACTTAGATGGAGTTCGGAGATGGACAATATCGGTCCACTCCTTCTGGTACCTCCCCTACAAACGTCGACATTTTCAAATAAATGTGTAGCTGCACAGATAGAGAAAGGATAATCCAATTTTGCTCCAACTTTGCGAATCCTAATATTTGCATCAGTTCTAGGTAAAGAACGAAAATAAACAACATAGGTCTACTCCATCAAGTACCTCCCCCACAAAGGGTCAAATTTTTGAATAATTATAACTATTATAAAATGTGATGTAATAGTCCGATTGTCTTCAAATTTCACACATCACAATATTTTTATTAAGGTCTGGTGCGAAGATGGAATATATCGGTCCACTCCCTCTGGTACCTCCCCCGCAAAGGGTCAAAAATTTGAATATCCATAAAGCTCATAAAACGATAATTAAAATCCGATTCCATTCAGACTTGGTACATCTTAATATTTTCATCAACACAAGATCTGTTATAAAGATGGTAGAGATCGGACCCTTTCTTCTGGTACCTTCCCAAACATAGGCTTGTTTTATTTCTAAAACAAATCATTTTCCTTTCTAATCACAATTGTTTTGATTATTTTTCTAACAAAACCCTTTTTTTCTCATTTCCAGGTCTACTATCCGCCATAATAGTACACCGGACCTCGGCCGTGGACGATGACGAGAATTATGAGCCGCGACATTTGACCAACGACCAATGTAAGTATTGACTCAATCAGTGGTACTCCATCACAACATAACAAACAAGTCTCGATTCATAACTACTTTTAAGGCAGCGTCCTTTTTCCAGTCTCAATCGGATTCACCGTTTTCTAGACCACTCTCGGCGCCGGCCTATGCGATACGGACGGGGCGTGGCAAGGATTTGAAAATAGCGGCGGTGGCGGCGGCCGATTCACGATCAGAGTCGGATAGTAGTGCCAGTGAAAGTGGTGACTTCTTTGATGAAGACGACGAGGAAGAGGGTTCTGCAGAGTACTATGACGAAAGTGAGGAGAACACAAGTTCATCCAGTGCGGGTGAAAACAGTGGTAGTGATGAATCATTGCCACGTCTCCTTTCACCATCAGCATTTCATCGCATCTCGGAAACGTTGGGCGCCTTGAATACAGTGGGACATTTGTTGGTAGATATGACACGAGGAGGTCAGGATAGTAGTAGTAGTACTCCAGGATCTACTGGCATTACAGCCACACCTACCTCGGCGACAACAACGACTACTACCACAACAACGACACCAACCACTGAAAGAACTTTAAGTGAAAACAACAATTCGGCAAAACTGTTTTCCGGTTCCACCTTGGAAAACAGCATAGATTCGGTGAAAAGCTCATCATCTGTGCACGTGGCCGACAAGAGGATAGGCCAGGAGGAACCCATTAACAAACCCATGTTTGTTGAAAACAAGGAAGTGAAAAAGAAGCGCAAGAAGAAGAAGAATAAGAACAAGACCAAGAAACCAAGTGGAGACTCGGCTGTAAATTCGACTTCAACTCTGACAAAACTTCCCACCACCCTACGGCCTGTCGCTGTGAGAACCACCACTTTGCCCACTGTACAACAGGAGGACGAGTACAACGATGAACGGGAAACAGGTAAAGATGTGGAAAATCGGTGCAAAACACCCAGTGGTCGCCCTGGACGTTGTGAAGATCTCAGCAGTTGTCCGGCATTGCTTTTGAATTTGAGCAGTCTTCGGGAATCGTTGTGTTTTAAGAGTCTCTTCGTTCCCGGTGTATGTTGTCCACTGCCCGAAACTTCAACAGTGCTGACCACACAAAGGCCACTTAAATTGACAACGAAAGCTCCCACAACGACGACCACCACCAAACGTCCACAGCGCCCATCATCTACCAATTTAATATTGAGGCCTCAGAGTAAACCTAGCACAACAACAACGACCACCACTGCCAATCCTTTGGATTCAAATGATCTGGAGCTATTGGCCAACAACAACATTGTTGATCCAGAAGATTGTGGCCAACAAGAATATTCCACGGGACGTATTGTGGGCGGTGTCGAGTCACCGAATGGTCAATGGCCTTGGATGGCGGCGATTTTCTTACATGGCCCGAAGCGTACAGAGTTTTGGTGTGGCGGTTCTTTAATCGGTTCACGTTATATCCTAACAGCTGCACATTGTACCAGAGATTCACGACAGAAACCGTGAGTATTAAAAAAAGAGAATTTACGTTCGATGAGAGAGTGAGAGTAAAAAACATTTAATTTTTTCAGATTTGCTGCACGACAATTCACTGTACGCCTGGGAGACATCGATCTTTCCACAGATGCCGAACCCTCAGCTCCAGTAACGTTTGGCGTTAAGGAAGTTCGAGCTCATGAAAGGTAACAGAAGCTTTGAGATAAGTTTAAGCTGTAGTGTCATATGGCGGTCCTAAGACAGAGATATGGGTCTGTATAGGAAATTCTCTGTCATAGGAAGTAGTACCCAAACTTCAAATTCAGAATCGGAAATGAATTTTGTACAAAGTGCGGTTAAAATTATAAAGATATCGAATATCTGGAGATACAGTTTTGAAGTGTTATAAACGGAATTAATATAGCCTCCATCTAAAACATCTTAGTTCAGCGGTCGAACCTTCGATACCCTCCACAACTTGGAAGGAACTTGCAAAATGTAAAAAGTCTTTTGAAAAAAATTAAAAATTCCGACCATCAGATTTATAAAAAAACATGAACATATATAAACAATTATCTGCCGGCAAATTACGAACTCCAAATACCAAGTTTGAGATAATTCTGTTGAAAAATGTTGCTAAAATCGTTGAATAATCGAATTTGGGACGTAGATATAACGTCACGGGTGTTATACGACGACGTGGACCAATAAAGACAATTTTCTGTCAGTGGAGATAGAATCCATTATGAACTCTAAATACCACATTTGACAGAATTCTGGTGAGAAATGTGACACAAATCATAAGAATACCCAATATCGGGATAGAGTTATGTGGGATCTTTACCTAAACTGGGATTTATATGGACAAATCATCAAAATACAAAATTACAGGGTACAGACATGTGGAGACTGTACCTAAACTGGGATTTATATGGACAGTTCTTTTCAAAGATGTTTTTTAAATAAAGGGGAACATAAACTATCAATTTAAACAGCCAAAACACCTTAAATCTGGCGGTACAGTTATAAGGGTCCTATATCAAAATGTGAACCTATATGGGACCTAAAATGCATCTCAACAAAATTTCATGAACCTACTTCAATTTGTTCGGAAGTTAGAGCTATTTCCACAGACGGACATAGAATCTTATGCTGATCACGAATTTATACTTTGTGGGGTCTAAGATGTCTATTTTTGGTGTCCGTTGCAATTGCAATTTTCAGCCATATAGCTAGAGAGGGTATATATAATTTGATGCGGACAAAACGTGCATCATCGATATAACGGTTTTAGACCCTAGGTCTCTTTGGAGCAAATCCGTTTCAGGACATTTGGATTCGATCTGGTGATGTTCGTCGATCCGTCTGTCTGGCTGGCTGGTGCGCACGATAACTCACGAAGGGATTATCCGCTTAGATCGAGTTCGGAGATGGACGATTTCGGTCCACTCCTTCTGGTACCTCCCCCACAAAAGGTCGAAATTTTCAAAAAAATATATTTTTTGCACAAAAAGAAAAAGGGTGATCCGATTTTACTCCAACTTTGCATATCCTAATATTTGCGTCAGTGCTAGGTCAGGTGTGAAAATGGACAATATCGGTCCAATCCATCAAGTACCTCCTACACAAATGGTCAAAATTTTGAATAATTACAACTCTCATAAAATGTGATGTAGGAGTCCGATTCTCTTCAAATTTCACACCTCCTAATATTTGTATCAACCCAAGGTCTGGTGTTAAGATGGCCAAAATCGGTCCACTCCCTCTGGTAACTCCCCAACAAATGGTCGAAATTTGCAAAAAAAAACAAGTTAAAAAGTATCAGTCGGTATTGCCGACAGATATATACCCTCAGCCTACGTTAGATTATTTAAATATATTTTGGCTAGTATTACGATTATTCAAACGTTTGACCCTCTATGCAGCAGGTTCCGAAGGAATGGGTCAATATTGTCCATTTCGTATTTTATGCTAAATCATAAAAACAGATAAAATTATTGAAAATTGTGACACTATGTGGGTGAGGTGCCAGAAGGGGTTCGAAGATATATACAAATCTTGTGTTAGGAAAAATTTTTGTATGTTTGAAAAAAAAAATTTTTTGACCCTTTGTTGGGGAGGAGAGCACTTGACCTAGCACTGAAAAAAATATTAGGATTTGCAAAGTTGGAGCAAAATCGGATCATCATTTCTCTTTCTGTGTAGAAAATATATTTTTTGAAAATTTCGACCTTTTGTGGGGGAGGTACCAGAAGGAGTGTACCGATATTGCCCATCTCCGAACTCGATCTAAGTTTGACAAAAATATTACGTTGTACAAAGTTTGGACCAAATCGGGTACTCCCTTCGAGAGTTGTCGTGCGCACCAGCCAGACAGACAGACGGACGGACGGACGGACGGACGGACGGACATCGCTAGATCGACTCCAAATGTCCTGAAACGGATTTGGTCCAAAGAGACCTAGGGTCTTAAACCGTTATTTCGACTAGGCACGTTTTGACCGTATCAAATGATATATACCCTCTGTAGCCATATGGCTGAGGGTATAAAAAAAAATTTCTGCACAGAAAGGGAAGCAATAATCTAATTCTGATCTAATTTTGCAAATCCCAATATTTGCGTCAGTTCTAGGACTCGTGCCAAAATGGATAATATTGGTCCACTCCATCAAGTGCCTCTCCCACAAAGGGTCAAAATTTTGAATTAGTATAACTCTTAAAAAAATATGATGTGAGAGTCCGATTGTCTTCAAATTCCACACATCCTACTATTTTTATGAACCCAAGATCTGGAAATAAGACGGCCCACTCCTTCTGCTACCTCCCCACAAACACTCAAAATTTTAAATATCCATGAAGTTCATAAAAAGCGAAATCAACATCCGATTCCATTCCAGACATGGTACACCTCAATATTTCCATCAACACAAGATCCGTTATAAAGATTGTAGAGATCGGACCATTTCTTTTGTTACCTGCCCCATATAGGGTTCAAAATAATAACGCTCAAAGAAAGCGAAATAAGCATCCAACTCTCTCCAAATTTCATACATACAAACATTTTTGCTAATACAAGATCTGTTGTGAAGATGATATATATCTGAGAAGCCCTTCTGGTACCTTACCCACAAAGGGTCACAATTTTCAACACTTTTGTTTGTCATAACTTGCAAAACAAGTCAGCGATTCTTTTCAACTTCCTATATCTAACTATTTCACTCAACCCGAAACCTGAGATGAATATGGAATTTATGATTTCGTATAAAATTTGATATAAATGTTCGATTGTATCTGTATCGTACCTCACGCTTATTTCAACATTTTATAAAAATTATCACATTCTTTCGCAACCTACTCCATAGAGGGTCAAACATTTGAATAATCATAGCAGAAGTCAAAATATATTTAAATAATCTAAGGTGGTAGAATTGGATCCACGTTTTCTCGTACTAACAAAAGCCTGAATTTTGGATTAACCATTATTGCAATAAAATATATAGATGTCTTATTCTTTTTAAATACTCCACATCCCAGTATTTTAATCAGCATTAGATGAAGTGGAACACTTTGGTCCACTATATCTAGTATCTCACGTATATTTCAATATTTTTCAAAAATTATCACTTACATCTTTTATATTATATGAGATATATAATATGAAGGAAGTAGTCGGTTCAGATGAGAAGTGGATAATATTGGTCCACTCCTTCGGTATCCTCTCCTTAAAGGTCAACATTTTCAATAATTATAATGTTAGTCAAAATATATTGCAATAAACCTGCAAAGGCTGAGGGTATACACTTGTTAGAAATATATTTTTTACTTCTAGTTGAAATCTGAAATTCCAATGGAGATATATCTCCCTGGTCTACTTTCTTAATGGGTTTGTTTTATTTTGTGATTGAGAACCAATCAGGCTTTCAATGCTGAAATGTGCAGTACCACCGAAAATGTGAGTAGAGAAAATGTACTCAAGAAAACATATTAAAACAAGTAAAAAAGCAGCTAAGTTCGGCCGGGCCGAACTATTAATACCTTCCACCATTCTGCAGGACCTAGAACAATTTCAAAAAAAAAAAAATCCTCGAAAAATACCGTTTGAATGAAACCGTTATGTAGGAGCTACTCGCAGACGTGCAGCTATAAGTATTTTTGAAAAATTCTGGTGAATAATGTAACTAATTTGGCCTCTTTCGAGTTGATATAAAAATTTGTTGTTAACAAAAACTGTTAAAAGAGGATATATTTAACACCAAATTTCACTATAGGTCTCGGAACTATATATTATGTTATAAAAGATTCACAAACTACTTTTACCATTGTTTACGTCAGTACGATGATTGTATTATATTTTATCGGTTTATGGTTTTATTATTTTTTATGGTATTTTAAAATATTTTTAAATTTATTTTTTTTAGATTCTCTCGTATTGGATTCTATAACGATATTGCCATTTTGGTGCTAGACAAACCGGTCCGCAAATCCAAATATGTTATCCCTGTATGTTTGCCACGAGCTGGTCGCATGCCACCGAAAGATCGATTGCCCGGTCGTAGAGGTACCGTGGTGGGATGGGGTACCACCTATTATGGCGGCAAAGAATCAACATCCCAGCGTCAAGCTGAATTACCCATTTGGCGAAATGAAGATTGTGATCGTTCCTATTTCCAACCGATTAATGAAAACTTCCTGTGTGCCGGCTACTCAGATGGTGGTGTGGATGCATGTCAGGTAAGAATCTGGCAGAATAAATTTGAATAAATGTGACTAATTGTATATGTATTTACAGGGTGATTCCGGTGGTCCACTCATGATGCGCTATGACTCACGCTGGCTGCAATTGGGCGTTGTTTCCTTTGGCAATAAATGTGGTGAACCTGGTTATCCTGGTGTATACACCCGCGTCTCGGAATATTTGGATTGGATTGCCGATCACACAAAGGACTAGGACTAGGGTTCTGCTTCTCAATTTGTGTTTTTTGTTTTCTATAGAAATATGACTAGTCGAAATTAAGCGCAACATCTCCGTTGAATTTTTGTATTTCATGTGTAATTTATTGACACTGTCTGTCATTCCTTAAAAATGTATATCTCGATACGATAGTTTTTAATTAATTTTATAAATAATTTATTTAATTTAACACAAATATACGTATATGGAAATAAATAATATATTTTTAAAAGGAATTGAATCAGAATTTTGCATTCCAGAATTTCGAAAATTTATTTTTACAACGCTATCTGTCGAACGAATTGAGATAGAAGGTAAAATTTTACATGTACTGGGTGAGATAAAAAAACTGCAAGAAAGTCAAACGCCATACACCTTACATTTTTTTATAAATTTTTTTGAATGAAAGCAAAAAATATCGGAAATAGCATCAAATTTTAGAATAAGTTTAGATTTGTTCGAATTGGTCACCTTTGGCACTAGTTATGGCCTTCAAACGGCCAATGAAACCGTCACGCGCTGCCCAAATGGTGGTCTGCCGTATTTTGGTCCGTTCGCGGCGAAGCGCTTGCTTGAGGTGATCGACACTTTGGTATTTTTTAGTGCCAACCTTGCTTTCCAAAACACTCCAGACACAATAGTCCAACGGATTTTGGTGCTGAGTCCTGTTGGAATGTTCAAGGTCTGCGGCCAAAATGTTTGCGTGTCCAAGGCTTTAATACACCCTTCAGAATATTTTCGCGATAATATTCGGCTTTTATTCTGATGCCACGGTCGATTAATACGAGCGGAGAGCGACAATCGGTTGTTATGGCGGCCCACACCATCACCATGGCCGGCGCTTGGGTTCTGATGGCCAACCGAAGGTGCACATTTTCAGCTGACCTCTTTGGCAAGTAAACACGATAATTTTGTTTGTTTACAAACTGCTGGACAACGAATGTTTTCTCATCGGAGAAAACCAAATTTGGCAGTTCACCACTTTCGGCCAAGCGAAGCAACTCTTTAGCTTTTTTGAGTCTATTTTCTTTCTGTTGCGGCTCACGAGCCATTTTTCGGCCCCTGCGACGCGGGTTTCGATCAGGTCGCTTCTTTACTTTTCGAACCATATCTGCTGATGTTGCTGTTTTCTTCCGTTCACTTCCTTGACGTCCGGCTACGCTACGGTAACGAGCGATGGTACGAGACACAAAAGATCTATTCACATTTAAATGCTGGAGTGCTCTAACGATAGCCACTTCTGGTTTTCCAGCCAAATATAAAGAAATCTCACTATCACGCTTTAATTCCATCACGAATAATTTTTTTTTTCTGGAAAATTCTCACCAAAATGCATTTATACGCTTGTAAACAATATAATGAGCTGTCACTGGAATAATTTGAACAGCTGTCGGACGAGTGTCTTAGAAATGACAGCATTCTGAAGTTGGTTGCTGGTTTTTCATCTCACCCTGTAGATATATCTATTTTGCCAGTAGTTGGGTCAGGTTCATTAATGAACCGTGTAAGCCCATTTGACCATTTTGCAAAGAATTTTTTAAAAATTCGGTATTCTGAGGTTGCTTAGGCTTCCTGCAGCGAAACATTGTTTATATGTGTCCCCGTTTTCATATGACCCCATATAACGGTATCTCCAGATATTCGATATTTTTGAAAAAGTATTCGATATTTTGAAACGTAACCACTGTGCTAAACCTCTTCCCACAGACATAATTCATCGGACTACACAAAACTTTATAGGCGTTTAGTTTCTAAATAAATGAATTAACTTTTACTTCCACGAGCTTCTTGATTGACATTTCACTCAAGCTACTACTGTATGAGCAACGATTAAAACATTCACATCATCTAATTTAATTATGTTTTTGCGATAAGAGGTACTGTTCACACCACTCTTTCCCTCATGCCAGTTGGTTTTGTAGAATAGCTCAAGTGTTTTCGCCACTTCATTGAAAAAAATAATTGCCCCTATCATAAGAGGCCTGTTCTGCTGATAACAAGGTTTTATTGATAACATTTTATCATTGAACAACAAAAACTGCACATTGTTTGTTTGTTTATAAAACCATTTCCTATCAATAATTAGGAATTCCTCGAAAACTGTTCATATTCATGAATTGTCAATTTTAAAGCGTTTTGACTATCTTATTTAAAATCTTTGATTTTGGTTAAAAATGCCTATTTACTGTATCTAAATATGATATATGCCTTAAAGTATGCAATAAAAATGCATAGCTTCAAAAAGAACAACACGAATCTTAATATTTTCTTTTGTATGAATCTGAATTGAGCTTCTGCAACATCACATTTTTAAATCCATTTGAAGAATCTAGTTACTATAACCCTTTTTAAATAAATTCGTATGCTATAATTCTACATACTACAATATTAACAACGAAGTCCTGTAAATAAGCTTAGTTGGTGGCCTAGATTATATCAAAATATGAAATAGACTTCTTTCCCTACAAAATTTTCTATTTGAAGGTCTCCCTTAAAATAAGTTAAAAATAAGGCCCCACTTATTTTTAAATCCTCATATAATCCTCCGCAATAATACGCATGAGCACCGACCACGTGTTGATTTCAATGAAGTCAGATATTCTAACCGCATCTATAGCCAAGACCGTATTGACAATTGTGCTTGAGCGATATGACTAAAGCTAGAATCTTGAAATCCTGCACGAGGTTCAGTCTTGGTGCGTATGCGTGTGATAAGACTGTTTTTTTGGAAATTCGTACTAAAAAAGTACTAACATGTACAAAAAAATATTCTTTGTACTGAACAAACGTCATATGTTATAAACATGGAATGGGAGTGATTGATGGAGTGTAGGATAGATGTACTAAAGGATTTTTTGAAAATTCGAACTTTAAGATTATGAAAAGTTCTAAAGTGATACTAAACTTCCAAATGGTACCATTTGGTATTATATGAACGTATAGAACAAAAAAATTGAAATTTGGTATGAGAATCAATGTTGGAAAGTAAGTTTGTTATAAGTAATAAGTGTACGAATTGTACTAAATGGTTCTTAATTTGGAATAGTTTGGTTTAAGTTGATCGGATGAAACTGGAATTTTGAAATTTTGTATTGGGGTCCCTGATTGTGGTAGATTTCTGATAAAGAGGTGCTTCTGGAAATATGTCCTACATGTGCACGAAAAATACTAAATAGTACTACATTTAGTATTTGGTAAAGGGATATGCCTGGAATCCTCAAATTAAATATTTAGATAACTGGTGGTATCTATGTTTGAGATTTGGCGGTGGTTTGAAAATGCGTCCTATATCTGTACGAAAATTACTAAATGGTACTAAATTTGATTTTTAATGAAGGGAAAGGGCTGGGATTCTCAAAGTTGATATTGAGGTTTTGTTGGTATCTGGAATGGAGATATGAAAGTGGATTTGGAAATGTGTACTTTAATTGTTCGAAAAGTACTAAATTTGGATCACTGTTGGTGTCTAGGATGTATAAATGTATATTTTTTTGGATATGCGTACTAAATGTTACTAAATTTAATATTAGGTGAAGTGAAATTCGATATGGATGTCACTGTTGGTGTCTGTGGTTGAGAGCAGGAGCTGGTTTGCATATATGTACTATAATTGTACTAAACGGTAATGGGCGAAAGAAGAGAGTAGGAATCCCGAGATTTGATATTGAGGTTTCTGTTGGTATCTGAATTTGATGTATGGATGTGATTTTGAAAATGTGAACTATAATTGTAGGAAAAGTACTAAATGTATTCAGTGGAGGAATAGAGCTATAACCGTGAAATGTTATATTGTGATAACTGTTCGTGTCTAGGTTTGAGATATGTAACGGCTTTGCAAATGAGTATTAAAATTGTACGGAAAGTACTAAATGTTACTAAATTTAGTATTCAGTGAATGAATAGAGCTGGAATCCCGAAATTTGATATAGAGGTCTCAGTTAGTTGGTATGTAGAGATCAGGTGGCACTGTGTACTATAATTTTAAGAAAAGTGCTAAATTTCGATCACAGTTGTTGTCTAGGACGGAAAGATGGGATATGCGTACTAAATGTTGCAACATTTGGCATTGGCTGAAGGGTTAGAGCTACAATTTCGAAATTTGATATTAAGGTCACTTTTTGTTTCTAGGGTTTACATATTGAGACATTGCAATAGTTTTGGATAGGAAAATTGGGTGTGGGTCCATTGTGCAATAGTTTTACTAGTATCCTCCTGGGTAAACTTCATAATTTAAGATTTTGACGACTTTTTGTTGTAAAAGATAAACATTTTTCTATTATTCTTTCCGGAAAGTTCTTTGCATCGGAAAGTTACCTAATGTAGGGAGGCAAGTTCCCCCTTTTCCACATTTTTTTTTAAAATATTAGGATTAAGATTCCTTGGTATCCATCGATTTTAGGTATACAGGGAGAGATGAAAAAACTGTAACCAACTTCAGACTGCTGACATTTCTAAGCCACTCGTCCGACAGCTACTGAAATTACTCCAGTGACAGCTTATTATATTGTTAACAAGCGCACATTTTGGTGAGAATTTTCCAGAAAACCCGTTATTCGTCATGGAATTCAAGCGTGATATCGTGATTTCTTTATATTTAGCTGGAAAATCACAAGTGGTTATCGTTAGAGCACTCCACCATTTAAATGTGAATAAATCTTTTGTGTCTCATACCATCGCTCGTTACCGTGATACTGGTCGTGTAGCCCGACGTGAAGGAATGGACGACTTGATCGTAACCCGCGTCGCAGTGGCCAAAAAATAGCTCGTAAGCTGAACATATCGCAATATTCCATTCGACAAATATTGAAAAATGATCTTGGCATAAAGCCATTTAAATTCCAAAAAGTGCAAGAACTTACACCGCAACAGAAAGAAAATGGACTCAAAAAAGCTAAAGAGTTGCTTTGCTTGGCCGAAAATGTGGACTGCTCAATTTGCTTTTCTCCGATGAAAAAACATTCGCCACAGTTGTCCAGCAGTTTGTAAACAAACAAAATGATCATGTTTACTTGCCAAAGGGGTCAGCTGAAAATGTGCACCTGCGGTTGGAAACAACCGGTCATGGTGATGGTGTGGGTCGCAATAACAGCCGATGGTCGCTCTCCGCTCGTATTAATCGACTGGGGCATCAGAATAATTGCCGAATATTATCGCGAAAATATTTTGGAGGGTATATTAAAGCCTTGGGCAAGCAAA